GAATCCAGACTGGAGATCATCACAGCAGTTATTTTGTGCCAAAAAATAGTTGAGCTGATGGAAAACAGCTTTTTCTATAATTTTACCCAAGAAGGGTAGGTTTGAAATTGGCCTATAATTCTGCATGATTGAGTTGTCTAGGTTTTTTATTATTTAAAAGAGGCTTGATTACTGCTGTTTTTAGTGCTTTTGGGAACTGTCCTGAGCTGAGGGAGGTGTTGACTATCTCTAGTAGCTCTGATGCCAAGCAGTTAAAACATGCTTCAGGAAGCTTGTAGGAATACTATCTAAGCAACAGGAGGAAGAACCTAAATGCAACACAATGTTTTCAAGGGCATTATGGCTGATGGGATCAAATTGTGTCTTGTGGATTAAGTGTATTTTAAGAGGATGAATGGTTGCCATAGACCCCTTTCCCAAAATGGAGGCACTCACCGTTAATCTTATATTTTCAATTTTTTTGTAAAAAATGATGCAAATTTGTTGCATGACTCAGTAGAGAGGAGTTCAGTGGCAATTGGTATGCGGGGGTTTGATAGCCGGTCAACAGTTGAAAATAACGCAGGCCAACATCAGTGACCATGAGGTTAGAAATATTGAGACCTTTGGTTATAACTAGGTCAAGAGTGTGGCCCAATTTGTGCACATAACTCACGGTAGCGATATTTTATACTTCATGCTATCTGCACAAACTACATATCACATGAAAGCTGAGATTCCACAGATTCCATTGGTATAAGTATCATCACTGTGCGACCAAAGCACACAATTTTACTTTACTTAGCGAAAGCCAGGAAAGACAACACACAACTTCACTTTACAGGGCCAAAGCGGCAAATACGTCTTACCTTTGCTGTTTTCTGATCAAAAGTTGTGTTCAAGGGCATTAAAACGCATAAAAACGCTGCTGAAGGTTAATCCAATGTCTCTGTCACTTTGAAATGATTACTGATAATCCATCATAACATTTATGGCAATAAACCACATTTTCATTAGAGTGTAACAGAGCTTTCGGTTTTGGGCAAACTGCGTGTGCATCAATCTCACTCCTCAATGGTAATGTGTAGGTAGATTCAGGACCCCCCCCCCCCCCCCTCGATTCTATTGGCTCTAACAGTTAAAAAGAGATGTCAATCACCAAAGTCGACCAATGGGTTCCAGAGATACGGCAAATACACCCAAATGTACCCAGAGGTGTTTTTTTTCTTCTAAACCTCTCTAAAAAGGTCACATGTCACTTGTTTTGCATCAACCTTGATACAGGGTACTTATTATATGTTATAATTTGGATTCCTAAAGGTTTACCTTCCCATCATTCAAGGGTGGTTTTCACTATAAGTAATGGGTTTTCTTTGGACGGAAACTATAATTTACATTTTTTTTACGATGTTCAATCTGAATTTACCTTAAAATAAAATAATCTATATTGATTCTGACTTGTCTACATCCAACTCACAGGTGTATCATTGCTTTGAGTAAAAAGATTATTAATTTACCCCTTTTTAGAAGTGAAGATATAGTCATTTGTTCTGGGAATGTCATTTTCGAGCCTGAGGCCTGAAAAACAGGCTCCGGGCATAGCAGGTTAACTAACTGCACTCATAATGTGCCTACATAAAAATGCACCAGGGCTTAAACCAAAGCAGGGTTTCATTAAAACCATGATTAAAACCCACCAAATGTTAGCTTGTAAACGCAGCCCTGGAATAAGATATGAGCCCAACATTCAAAGTAGGCTCAATGGAAATATTTAAAAATGACCTTGTTGACCATCTGTAACTGACCCATATAATCGGCATCCAAATGTACTGAAATAGGTTTGCCTGAAGGCTGAATGCCTCCATCTAGAAAGCTGTTGCTGGGAGCTGGGGAGCAGCTGGGTTCAGCCTTGGGTCCCCCGACAGTTTGGTGCGTCATCGCAAAGTGCACTTCAGCAAGCCCAAAACCACTTCGGAGGCACAGCACACAGCCCTGCACTCTAACCTCTGAGAAGAAAAGTTAGTGGCTATGTCAGCACCCTTAAAGGGTCAATCCAACAATGTAGTTTTGCACTTCCATGAATGTCACTCAAACATTTGGGATAATTCAAGTGGTTTTAATTTGCTATCATAGATGAATATTCATCAGTCCAATCATGTGTGGACCATTCTTAGATGTCTCCTTAACAGTATTCAGATTAAATGTGCAGTCTCGTCAGGTTTTCCCTCCTGCGGAGTGTGTGTGTGTGTGTGAGAAAGCTCACACAGGCAGTTTTAAGTGGAATGAATGAAGTGAGAAATGTGAATGGGCTGAAGCTGAATTAAAGCACAAGGGAATAGTTACAATACAAAAGACCTTATAAGAAATGACATAATCATTGGCAAGTGAGGAGGTTAGACACATTACTATAAGAACACGTGTCATTGTTAAGGTGTTATTAGCTGAGTATGCATGTTTACTTAACTGACACTTGAACTTTATAGCGGTAACAGAATAGGCCTACATGAATAATCATAGGTTTCTAACGGTGACAATTTACACATTTTACACAATTGCACATTTTTGTGAATTCGGCTGTGCGATATGCTAGAAAAGCGCTAAGTGAATGCATTTATTTATTTTATTTAAAGGGGACCTATCATGCAAAATGCACTTTTGTACGTCTTTTACACATGAATATGTGTCCCCGGTGTTCCAGGGAACTCACCAAGTGTCAGAAAACACAACCCTCTCTCTTTTCCTCCATACCCAAATCTCTAAAAAGGGGCTGCAACGGATCTGATACAGACTGATACAGATTTGAATTGTTCTGATGTCAGAAATGAGGAGCTCCGCCTATATGGGCAACTCTCCACCTATCAGGAGGAGACAGCCACGGCCATTGCCGTTCGAAAGCGTTGGAGACGCTGTAGTACATATGCCAGGCCTGTAAGTGTTGATGTAGTCTGCCACAAAAGCAGCGAAGAAGACTTCTCAGATTCAGCCCTTGCAAAAACAGGGCTAAAAAAGAGCAAATAGAGCGAAATGAGGCATGGCTAAAATGCATGATCTGTTTGGTATTTTGAGAAAAAAACTTCGCAGACATGTTTAATATAGGTATGGCACTATATATTATTCAAATATAGCATGATAGGCCCACTTTAAGTGAACAGAGCAACCATCCGAACATATTAATAACGAGTAACTCTGAACTTCTCTCTGACTCTCTCTTCGCACGCACACAGCATAGGCTACAGAACACCGAAGGTGGTCTTGCGCTCAGGGGTGGTGGAAATAAGTCACAGTCTGCGCATTTGTTCCTTAGCAACAGCTTGTGAGAGCAGCGCATTAATTGGTGTTCGTTTGAATGTTTGTTGACGGCCTCCGTGTGTTGATGGGACTTCTCATGCTCCCTACATTTTTCCCCTGCCTTTCGCCAGTTATTAAACCGTCCTTTAACAAAACTCCCTTTTTCCTACTGGTAGTGTGTTTAAAAGAGCGACCAGTCCAGTGATGAGGAAGTAAAACAAATATAATGTTCGGAAAAAAGTGGACCTTTAGGCTTGATGTTGCCTGCTGTCCTCAAAGGCCTGTCTGGATTTGAAATGTGTGTGTATGCGTGTTTTGTTAACAGTGCTACATCTGAAATGTAAAAAAAACTAGTCAGATTACACAAGTTAAATTTTTCGGACATTTAATGCGATTGTAAGTCCATTTTTATCCTTAAGTTGAGTCACAAAGCACTCAAAAAGAAAACAGCTGCACTCGATCCAGTGAGCCTGAAGTAAAAGTTAATGCAGATTGGTTAATTATTCATGAAATCCACCATTACACTGATACTGGCCCAGCGCCCAAAATATGTGTCCTCATTCCCCATGAAAACATTGGGTGGAAAACTGATTTTTAGCTTGAGCATTAACCCCTGCAGTGACAAACTAAACACTCATTGTCTCAGCAGGAGGTAGTAAAACCTGATAAGTCTCCAATTTGATTTTGTTTTAGGGTTAATTATCTATCTGTACCACTGATATTTCAGGACCATGGACAGATGCATATCAAAATGTAACAAAACTTGATTCTTAAATACATGACGCTCCCTATCCTTAAGTTTAGTCCATGCTACTTCCACCACTGTTGTTACTGAGCGCCCAGAACTAAATAGCATTTTGATTAAAAAGCACATTTGTAAAGCTTGTATGGATTATTTGTTGTTGAAAAGTGAAGCAGACTAGAATGTGTATTATTGAGTTGTTATTTAATTTGATAGATTTTGATAATAGCTATTTTATGTCTGTGTTGCTTAATGGGAGTCTACTGTGCAAATCTTTACTTATGTCAAAGGATAACATCATCCATCCTATATCATACAGAAGCACTTAACTCCCCTCCTACTGCTCCCCTGACTGAACCGGTATTATTAAACATTCAACGTGTGTGTGTGTGTGTGTGTGTGTGTGTGTGTGTGTGTGTGTGTGTGTGTGTGTGTGTGTGTGTGTGTGTGTGTGTGTGTGTGTGTGTGTGTGTGTGTGTGTGTGTGTGTGTGTGTGTGTGTGTGTGTGTGTGTGTGTGTGTGTGTGTGTGTGTGTGTGTGTGTGTGTGGCACATATGCATCGATCCTTTAAGAAACGTCCACTGACAGCGGGGCGTTGCCTAGGGAGACCCAGATGCTGTCGTCCTCTCCTTGTGTAACCATGGTGATGGTGCCTTCAGTGACGGATTGTGTCTGTTTGCCTCACTGTCAAAATATATGTGCACAACACACACACAGACACACACTAGAGTGTTTTTGTGAAGCAGGACCTGTGTGACGGTTCAACAGGAGCAGAGTGACAGATTCAGGTGCAGCTTTCAGAGTATGTTAAAAAGGAAGCCTGCAGGAGGCAGTGTGTGTTTGCCACAAACATGTAGGTCATATATTTCCAGGTCTGGGTGTCATTTCTAATTTTTCCAGACATGTCCTACCTGGGAATTTAAGTAGTACTTGTGACAGAATAAAGAGCTTGTCCGAGGTTATGCTGATGTTGGTTTTTATCTCCTTGTAGCTCCAGGGATGATGTCATCAATGATGTCATCAGGGGGACGCCAAGACCCCCAAGGACAGCCCGCCTTCAGCTCTGACTACCTGTCTGGTGAGGGGGAAGGGAGGGAGTGCTATTGTTCTAATTTAGTGTATCAACATGTGCGAAATCTGTGCAGAGTCACATGGGATCTTTTAGTTCCCCCTCTGGATCAGTTTGAAAAAAAAAACCTTGCCAGTTGCAACACTTCTGGGCATAGCTTCAATGATTTGAATATTTAAAAACAGAAAATGTATTCCTCTCTTTTTTACATCCTCCCCCATCATTTTGTCTCCCTGGCTCTCTGGCCTCAATGTACTTGGCTAAAATGTTTCTCCTTGATCCCCCTTTCACTCTTTTTCTCTCCGTCTTTCTTCCTCTCCTTCTCTCTATCTCTGTCTTTGCAGGTCCTATGATGGGTGTGCGGACGGATCAGTGGAGCATGAACAAGACAAAGGACAACAGCATGCCTGACTCATTTCTAGGTCCACTTTACTTTTTTGAACCTCTGTGTCATTTTAACCTCTGAATACAAACTTAAGGGTATCATATTATCCCTTCTATCTGTTGGTTTACAAACAATACAGAATATAAAACCCTTTAAACTAATTCGGTTGAAATGTTGTGGTTGTAATGTGTTCATTTATTATTTAGACTGGATTTATAGAATGTTTTAAATTATTCTGATGGCATTCATTATATGGTGAAAAACTGGACATGGCTGGAAGACATTTTCAAATTCTACTTAGTAGCTGTTAATAATGCTGCTAGTAATACCCTATAAATTAGAAGGCCAGTTAATTCTTAATAAGGGTTCATTGTTTAGTAAAGATAGCTATAACGTGCACTCACCACTACTAATACAGCTTCCTTACAGCAGATATTCTTAACTATGGTGTTAATGGCACTCCAGTGGACAGTTTAAATGTTTTATTTAAAAAAGAAGCTCCATAGATCGACAACAAATATTTTCGTTTTTTAAATCCATATTGGTTCATATATAATCCGTTCCAATCCAACTAACCCATTACTATAAGATTATTCACATGTCTTTAATATATTTTCTATAAAATAATCCTAATTTTATTTCAAGGGAACTAAATGAGGGGTCCCCAGTTTATATTGTGAGAGGTCCTTGTCTGAAAAGATATTGAGAATCATTGCATTACAGTATATTCTTTAAAAAGAAGCAGAAACCAGTTTATATAGTGTATGTAGCTGCAGTACATACACGTATTATCTGTGGGTGACCGGTCTCTGTGCTCTGTCTGTCCATCAGGTTTCTCTCAGTCTGGGATGGGAGGGCCCGTGGGGTCCAGCCAGCCCCCCTTCCAGTCCGGGATGGGCTTGGCTCTCGGCCAGACCGGGATGGGTTCTGCTATGGACAGCCAGAAGAGTTCGGGCCTGTTTGGTGTGGAAAACAAAAGCACCAGTGGAAGCAGTCCCTTTAAACCCAGTGATCCATTTTCCCTCGGTGGCCTGGGAATCCCCTCCATGGATCACTCTGCAGGTATCACAAAGAGGGTTGGTTGCATGTGTTCCTATTTGCAGAAGGGGCGGGTGGAGACAGGAGAAGGAGGAGAGAGGAGGAACAGGTAGTGGTAATCTCTGCTGAAGAAGGTTTACCTGACACTCCCAGTAACACAATACTGAGCAGGTGTTTTTGTGTAGTTGTTAGGGAGGGCTGGTTGTATTTTTCACACAGAAAACTGGAGCCCCTGCTGGAATAAAACAAGTAAATCCTTGTCAAATCTTAAATTAGCTTGACTTGATTCTCATACGTCATGCACATTATTATAGGAAGCCCTGTAGCATGGCAGCAGTGGCGGATGGTGATAGGAGAGTAAGAGCCTGATCACACAGGGCACATTTGAGCAGCAGAGGGCAGCCTCTTCTAGTTGTTTCCACTGCAGTTCAGCTTTGTCATCACCACTGGATTCATCGCTTTATCCTCTCTGCACTTTACTATTCTTTATCTTTCAATTTGATCAAATGAGACTTATGCAGTGGCCATAAAAAAACACATCATTTGATGTCGATGAAAAAACCCAACATATATGCAACCATGACAATTCTAGTTGCCTTTTATCATACATTTTTAATGTTTACTACGCTTGAGGGAATAACAGCTGTGTCTTAACTGAATGTATGGTTGCCTAGCAACAACAACACAAATCCCAGGAGAGGATTTAAAGACGAAGCAGCACATCATGCCTTTCAGGGTCTTTCTCTGTAATTATGCACACATTCAAGCTGCTTTAATAAAGACATGCTTGCAGTGCTGCACATAGTTATTTTTTCCCATTAACCTAATGTTACTCTCTGTCTGTTCAGCATTAAAGCTTTTGAGAAATAAAGATTTAAAACACAACTAAATGAAAAATTACTCAGCATCTGAGTTTCATTCCTGCAGAGTGTATTCATTCAGCACGCTCTTATTCAGGGTTTTATTTTGTATCTCTCCTCCCTTCTGTTTTGTTGGTCTGCTAAAGATAGACCAGCTAACGGTACACGCTGGTTATGTAACAGTTATTATCCTAGTTCATTACAGGAAACTCCTAGAAACCAGGGATGAATTGAGGGGAGATTGTCTGTTACCCAACATCAGTTGCTGTATTGACTGATACACACTTAGTTTTTCGAATGAAAACCCATTCAATTTTCAGGGAAGAGACTAGTGATGTCACCAGATGCTGCTGTTCTAAAATAAATGTCCTTAGTGAACCGCTCTATTAAACAAAACCTACAGACACTCTGGAAATACGCCAATCCTGTTACATAATTTAGATGATAGCGATGAAGAATACAAAATAAGCTTTGGATTAACTAGCCTAATGTTTGATCTTACTGTTGCAGATTGTTTTAGAAATAAAATATGCAACCTTTAAGCACAGAAATCAAATTCAGAGCATATGAGCTGATGAAGATGGAAATCTGTTTTTGTGTCTTAAACTGCGCTAATCACAAAAGTAATGAGGGATAAACCAAGCTTAATATCTCAAGAAGGATACGCTCTGTTAGCTCAGAGTGCAGTGTTACTGGAGCCATTAGATTCATGTATCTATCAGAGACCTCGATTATGTATAGTACAAATGACTGCAGTGAAGATGTTATTAGTACATATTGATATCATATTCAAAATGGAGGAAACGTTAACAATGACTCACTGTGTATTTAACTGCGACAGTAAGCAGTGGCAATGAGCAAACATAAAAAAGCCCCACAGTATTGTAATGTCTATTGAAGTAATTTGTCCTACATGAAAGATGAGGACTTGTCAAATGCAATGGTGTGTTTGAAAGATAGATCTAAAGCTTACGTTTTTGAGTATTAGTATTTGTTCTAGTTGCCAGGCAGAAAAAACATTTGGACTCGTGTCATGTCTTCTGCTTCTTCCTGTCTTACATCAATGGATATCAGATAAGGCAAAAACCATTAAACCTTTTATTTAAATAACTTGTTTTACAGAGGGAGCTTGTCAATATGTGCTTCTGTTTGGTCAAATCATTCCACAAGAACCACATCATTCTGGCTGTATTTGGAGGGGTTTTTCTTCGACGGCAGGAATATGAACAGCAATAAGAGATGTGCTGGATACATCTTAGTACAAATAACTCAATTGCGGTTCCCTTTCTAATTCACACGTTTTTGCGACCCTGGTGCATTTAATGTCTAAGACTCTAAGTAAAGAAAGGGTATTTTTGGAGCTACAAAGCTTGATGCTATATTTACCAACCAGCATCCGGCGTGAAGACTGAAGGGTCCTTTGCCTTGTTTAAAATCTCTGCTTGGGCTCAGCCTCTGGGAAATAATTAGCTTATGTACATGTCATGTGCTAGAGTATTATTAAACTATTACATTATTAAACCCACTGAGATAACTTAGGCTACAGTTTACAATCTAATCACTCAGAGTCCTTTACCTCCCTGAGCTGACGTTATCTCTCTCAGTCCCACAGGAGAGGACTCTCCCTCTCCTTATTGTTGAAACAGCTAATCTCCGTTAGCTCCGAGCTAGCACCAGATGCTAACAACAACCCTGTAACTCTCTCAGTCTCTCTTTCTCTCGAATCGACCAGTGGCCTTTATTTGTCATGAACAATCAACGAATCTACGAAACAATGACACCAGCCAGGCTCACCTTCATCTTTTGGGAACAGAAACATCGCCACGGCAGACTTGACATTAATACAGCCAGCGGCAATGCATCGCTTCCCGTGTGTTTTTCCTCCCTTTGTCTTCACTGTAGCCTCCATTGTCAGGTTTTCTCGATTGGCAATCACTTCCAGTCGACTCCGACACACTTTCCAGTAAAATACTCGCTCAAAAACTTTGATAAATTCGACTTTGAAACAGAGAAACAATAAACTGATGAATGTAAACACTTAGGCGGCGACCATCTCGTGACGTCACGCAGTAGATCGCAAGCCACGCCCACGAAGGCGGAGGTCAACTGCGGATTTCCCTGCGGCAAATTCAAAACTCGTCAAATTCGTTACTATTCCAACATATTTTGATATGGGTTCCAATGGACAATTTTGGTCATTACTATACGTATTAGCATAACAGATCATGCACAGGCGCACACTTCACGGGGTCTTTAAGATGTAATCCCTTTTTAATAACTCATCGCATTAAATATACATGATAATGCTCCAGTTTCATCTCAACCTTGAGCTGTTTATAGCTATACAAGCATTCAAGGCCAAAGGGAGAAGATAGCTAAAATTAAATAAGTCAATCAATTCAGAAATATATGAAAATGTTACAGATTAAAGGGGTATGCACCTTTTTCTGCCTTCACATTAATATCCAGTGATGTAAAACAGAGGAGGGGTCGATGAACACTGTGATAGAGCAGTTTTACTTAAAACCAGGGTGAAGACATGATGAAGAGAAATGAGAGCGGGATATAGGTTAGATTGAGAGAAGGACTGTATAAACAAACCTCTGTCTGTTTGTATCTGTCTGTTCATCTTTTCCTCCCTCATTCTCTCTGAGGTAATGGAGTGCTTGTCAGACATTATTGAAAAATATTGCTTTGAAGAAAAAACATAAACAACGATGATGAATTCCTCCACAAACAGGAGATAAGATAGTGGGAACAGAGAGATGAAGGGATCAATTCCGTGCAAGCTTTATTCTTTTGTGATAAGTAAAAGCTTGCACGTGCACATTTTGTCATTGTGTTGTGATTCTGTGACTCATTCCACATGTGCATTGTGCCATTTTTGGATAACTTTTTGTGTTTCTGTATGTGGGACAATGATCATTTTTCTAACAGGATTCTTTAAAAATGCATGCATTATTTTTTTATCATGCATGCTGGATCCTATTTGAAATGAGCTTGATGCATTTACCTTGTAAAGTTGCTTCAGTGCGTGCGTTTTGCTTTGCTGTGTGTGCCTGCTCCCTACAAGATCAGATTTACCCTCTGGGTCATGATCATGTTAAAAAGAGGTGAATCAAATATGTTTTCCACAGGGAGACAATCACACAATAAATCTATTGTTTGACTGAAAAGGGCCAATTTAAAACTCAGTCCATTACAGACTCCATACAGAATTTTCAGATTTTAAAATGTACACATTAAGATTAAATCGCCCCAATGGATCTTCTGACTTTTAATTGATCTTATCATACTGTATTCATTGGGATTAATATAGATATATGTATAGCCTCCAGTCCTACAATTTTACTATACAAATCTGGCACATTTGAAGAATTGAGACACAACCAAGTAGATACATCAAAACAAATGATTCTGAACGGATCATCAGCGCTGAACCTCCATATGTCCAAATAGGAAATGGATAATGCACATATAATTACATTTAGTGAAATATAGAATGTCTGTTACAGGTAAGTAAATGACAGGTTGATTGTATTTATAAAAGCAGGCACCATCACGTACTTCATATGTTATGAAAGCGTTTGAAGGGTTATGCCAAAAGGAGCTTTAAAGCAGTCAGATTATGGTTACAATGGCTTGAAACAGCCAGGGGGGACACTGAGAAATAAACTGCAGCAATCCCTTATGGCTTTAGGTGGTCAACACATTTGTATGTTGTGTATGTATTTAGCACAGAGTTTCTTGTACCTTGGCGTTATTGTACTCATGACGTGACGGAATAACCAGTTGCCCAAGGTCCGACAAACTCATAGAAGCCTTTCTATCTGTAAGCAACACAAAGAAACATTGATTAGGATGTTTGGATTGACAGAACTTTTGCTACAAAACCTTAAAACTACCTCAGTTAATATGTGGGACGGCCTTAATCCTCTCCGTAAACCCTCTGATTCTATTAATACTGACACATTCACAGGGAGTGGCATAGTCTAACGAAACCATTGGTTATGGGTCTTACAAGCTTTTTGAGCCAATATTTCACGTGTTCTAGTGCAACCACTGGATATCAATAATTCATTTTTCTTATTGTTTAAAGTCCGATTAGCAAGTTCAGTGTCCAGAAAGGAGACAAACTATATGACCAGATTGTCTCACAGGTAGTCAGTTTACAACGTAATATAAATCTGAATTGATGATAACCAATTGGTTGCGTAATTGCATTTCCTCCAATGCGTTTCACCCGCTCTGTTCTCCACATGCACTGCTTACGTTCAATCAAAGCCTACTCAAACATGATTGGTCAATACTACTCTTCCCACAAATGGTACAAACATATTGCCCCAATGCCTAGAGATCATGCATTTACATGCAGATATCTGCTGGACAAGTTTGTAAACAATTAATAAATAAGGTAGTTTAAACCAGCTATGGTAACCACAATCTGAAGGCTTTTTGGCTCTGACACAGTATGTGATTGGTTCCTCCTCTTATAAAACCCTCCCCCCCTCAGCAGCTCCCGTACTCTCTCCAAGCGGCTCAATGGACGACAGCAGTCCCTCTTCCTCCGCCTCCGAACCCCTCAGCCCTGAGAGAGTGGGGCCAGGGGGCGAGGCTGACAAGCAGAGGCGCCGGAAGAAGAAGAGGAAGGGCAGTGACCAGGTCTACGACTTCTTGGATAGCCAAGAGAATAGCATCGGCCAATCTCAAAAGCCTGGGATGCAGGATAAGGGAGGAATGGAGGCAGAGGAGGATGAGGATGACGAGGAGAACTGGGAGTGGGAGATAAGAGAGAGTGGAGGAGGAGGTAGAGTGAAAGGCAAGAAGACTAAGAGTCGGGCAAAACTTCCCGAACAGTGGGGAGCGCCCCAGCAGCCCATCTCTCCGACGCCGGCTACAGTCGCTCCTACCTGGGCTACTGCCGACTCTGGTCATTCTGACTCCAACCCCAGCCCTGTTTTGCCCTCTTCCCCTTCACAATTTCCCACAAGTTTCACTAATCGTTCCAATGCTAGCCTTGTACCAGATTCATCTCCTCGCTCTTATGAGCCGATGTGTGGAGACGACTTCCCTATGTCTGCTAAAGATGGTCAAAAGGCAAATGAAGTGAAAGTATCGACCAGCAAACCTGAACCTACCATTAGCGCAGCGACTAATGTTCCTGGCAAGAATAGTTCAGCTGTGGATGTTAGTGATAGTCTAGCACTGATGACAGGGGAGAATCTTAGCCCAGTCTCCCAGACCTTCTCTTTCCTGGATTCAGTTCTCCAGACCCCTCCAGGCTCCACTCCTGACTCACAGACCACCACCCCTATCACTAACACTCCCTCCCTTGCTACAGCCCCCATGGCAAAGTCAGAAATGGGCATCCCTGCTTCACAAGCCACTTCTGTTCTTAACCCTTCAAAGGTTACTACAGACCTTCCTCCTACTTCCGTTCTGTCAACCAACCCATCACCGTTAGCTTCCGCTGACACATACCCTTCAACAACCACAGTCAAATCAGCCCTCAACGTCGATGCCAAGCCTTTCGTCCCCTCAGCCACGCTCATGTCTTCTAGCATGACTGCAGCATCTCCAGCTTTTAGTACAACAGCAGCAGCAGCTTTCACAGGAAGCGCATCTGCAGCACCCACTACCACCCCAGCCATGACCCTTAGTTCCTCACCTTCTCCCTTTAAGAATGAAGCCACTCCTGCACCATTATCATCAGCCACACCCCCCAAAAGTGTAGCCACGCCATTTAGCTCAGCAGTAGCCACTCCCCCTCCACCCATCACCCCTGCAGCCCCTCCTTCTCTCCCTGCACACTCAGAGCACCAGGAGTCCTCGTCGCCACAGCTCCCCCCAATGGAAGGTTGGTGAACTACAGGGAAGATTATGAATAACATGGAGAAACATTTGAACACAATCATTGTAGACTAGGAAAGCAGGAAGTAGTTACTGTTTGTCTTCCTGTATGCATGGCTCTCTGTCTGTGGATTAAGTACCAGGCCTCCTTGGTGCTTGATCCTTTCCTCTATGTATTTGTAATAAACATGGCTTGACACATTAATAGAGAGCAGCTCCACTTCAATCTCTTTTTTAGATATTCATACATAGAAATCGGCTCTTTGCGACCATTCATAACACCTAATAAATATAATTGTATCTCAAAAATGTACCAGAGAAACATTTCTGTCCACTATATCATCTGGTGGCATGAGTATGGGACACAAATGTACTGTGCTGGTCGGGCCCTATATTGACAAAACTGTGAGGGTAAACTGAAGTTGTCTGATTTCCCTCTGCCTGCCTCTGTGTATCTGTTACCATGATCATAACAGTTGAATCACTTGACCTGCTGCTTCTGATAGCTATGCCAGCATTGCTTGCTCCGTTGTCTCCTGTTTCATCTGATTGTCAGCTGCCTGTGTAACCTCCCACATTATCTCCTCTCTGTCTGTACCAAGATACACATAGCCTGGGTCCTTTCATGGCAAACTATTTTGCTAATGCCTTTTAGATTTATTAAGTCAATGTTATAGTTTATCAACTGCATTGAGCAAAATGTTTGTAGTTGTTAAATCTAAGTTAATGGTAGACATGACTGCGACAAAAAAATTGGTGTTGTGGTTGTTAAATGCCCATCCTGAAATTATCCAATTATCTTGATGCCTCTTGGGTTTATTGTGTTTATATTTTGTGTTTATATTACAACTGTTTGTCATTTATGTGACCACATTAAGAGTCTCACATTTATAGATGTTTTGTGGAGAAGCAGAATGCTTATTGTAGGACGTTCTGATTTAGGCAGCAAATCTGACTCGTGCTACTCACTATGCTATTATAGAGCAGATCAGAGTAAGACAATACTTAGAGTTTGACTTTAAGTGACCAAAGCAACCCCCCCAAAAATGGAATAAACCATTCACAAAATTGAAAGCCAGAATATGTGTCGCAAAGCTCTGGAAGACCTTTAATAAGGTTGCCTTGAGTAAATATATGTTTGTCATTTTATGATGTACACCTGTAATGTTTGCAATTCACTACAACCGCTCAGTTTTTGGTGACCTTGACAGTAATGCTTAAATTCAACTAAATGAGTATTACTGAGGTTATCTTCACACCATTTTCTTATGCCCCCGCCTGTGTTTTTACATGTGCACATGAGGGGGGCAGAATAAATACTCTTGAATATAATGCATTCCATCACAACATCATCATTGTGTGGCCACTCTTTGATAAGCCAAAATACTAAAATTATATTTATTCATTTTCTTATGACCTTTATTATCCACTGCAAAGATCCAGAATAGATTTTAGGTTTAAAAACAAAACAAAAAGCTGTGTTCTTGACCCTATTTAAAATTTAAATTTGTGCTTGTTTTATACGTAATCCCTAATGTAAACCCAACCACCTTCAAATGACAGGGTTTCCCCCAGTTGTTATAACTGCAGACATGACAAGTCTGAGAAATGTCACGTGAATGACAGAACTTCAACATATAAAGCTGATGAGTGTAACAGCCAGCAGTCTAATGTCGGCCCTTATGGCCTGCTTGACCTCTTATACACTGGGATAAACCCTGAGATGAGCTCAGTCTAATACTTCCTCCTCCTGATAATGCCAGGTTTCAGTCATGATGATTGTCTCTGGCAACATCCCAAAGTGCTGAATGAAGCTTTCATTTCCAGTGTGATTCTCTCTATGCTTCCCCCAGCACTAAAACATTACCAATTACACGCATAAAAAGGCCTTTATCCGGACAAAGCAAAACTGCCCTTTAGTCTCTAAAGCATCCTTAAACCTGAAGAAATTCTAACTGGAGTTTTAAAGCATCTTCACAATTGTATTTGTACTATAAGTTCTAACCCTGAGGCCTTTGTATTGTCGAAGCTGCTGATTTAATCACATTGAAGCTGATTCTGAACTGGCTGAACATTGTCTTTTTCTCTCCCCCTTCCTTTTTTCTGTTTCATAATGCCACCAACCATGTCACCTTGAACAACAGGTAAGACAAGTTACTCTTTTTGCTTTTGGTATATTTTATGCGTCAATCTTTATTCAATTTGGAGCTCTGTTGGAGACTTTGGACAACCTTGACGCACAGTAGCTCCTGCTGTGATTGTTGGGTTAAGGTTATTTCATGTATATTCCTGTGTGGTTTTAACAAAGGTGGCAGTGAAGGTTTAACATGTAAAAATTGAGTAAAATGAACTAAAACACTGTTATTTCAAAAGTTAGAAATCATTGTTTGCGCCCTCTTATGAGGCTTCAATGTTGACATGCATCCTGTGTCTTCAATTAGGTTGATCTCAGCATAGCATTACAGAAATCTTCAAAATCCTTTTCTGGTACAAACAATATTCGAACTGATTACATATAACTGTTGATGTTCACTAAATGTGGCATATAAGAGGGTTAGTGAAATAGACCCTCTTTAGTTTCCATTTTGACTGGCTGAAAAGGCACAGGTTCTTCTTAGATCAAATAATGATTCTTTATTTTACCAAAGCAAGTTTTGCATTCATAATGCTGTAAAACTGTTAAAGCATTTTATAAACAGAAATGGGCATAGCCTATACATTAAGATTCAGCTATTTAATGAATATGTTGATATTTTATCACAGTCTATTTTTACGATTGATATGAGTCAGCATTCCAAACTTTATCAGTCTGTTACTTTTAAGGGATTGTCACTTTATACCCAGTGAATGCTGCAAATTAATTACATTATGAACATCCTTGCCAATCTGTTACTAAGTTGTTTTCAACATCTCATGCCACTCAGTGTCTACCAGATGGTCTTACTTGGAAAATAATGATGTTATACTTCACACCATATGAGTTGGTCTTAGTGTGCGTCATTGTATACTCGAGAAATTAGCTCTATTTTCAAAGACAAGTGCACCTTAAACAAGAGGGTTCTGTCCCATCTGACTTAATAGGCAGAAATAATTGATGTGAAACTTGACCCTTTAGCTTCTCTTCTGTGATTCTTTGTGTTGGTTGAAATGTTGTTGCTGCTGCAGAGTTACACACCACCAGTGGTGAACCGTGTCTATCACAACTGGACCTTCTGTAGACACACACACCCCCGCCGCCCCTCCCCCGCGGCATTATAATGTCCGTCTTTTCACTGAATTGTCGTCTTGAAAATTGTACTCACAACAATTCCGCAACAACTTCATCTTCACGTTGCACTTGTCATTTCAACGTTAAAAACAATAAAACGGCATGAATTGCTTCGTCGCATTCGTTCTAGATCCTCTGTCTCGAGCCAGTTAACTAGCGGGACTTAATCTAGAATACCCTGGAACCGAGGGAAACTCTGAAAGAATACGCCCATTGGCTACAAATCAATATATGATTGGTTGATCAAACTGTCAGTCCAAACGTACGCTCTCATTCAGTGCAACGGCCAGGGCATTCGATCAAGGATGTAGAATACCTTGGTTGAAGGATATTCTACGCAGAGATCCAGAAAAAGATCTGATTGGTTGCTTTCTTTTCTAACACAAAACCACTGAAATGCGTAGTGCATGGTCCGAGAAGGACAAACAAATCAACGTAACACTGTAATATTACAGATCAACAACACGGATACGATTCTCATTTATTCATTTTATATACATTTATTACATTTTATTTATATAATTAAATCGATTTTTTGTTTGTTTTATCTGAGTGTTCCAGGGTATTCTCTGAATACCTTGAAGGCCCTGAAGGTTCGCCACTGCACACCACCCAAGCCTTTAATGTGTATATTCAGTCAGCACTAAGTTGTCCCAAGGTGAATTTGTTGCTCTACAGCCGGTCCTCCCTCAGTACTGGATTTTGCAGATGCTGTTGCTACAGCACGGACACACAAACTTCATGGGTTTTGAAAAATGTAGCTTATTACAGTTTGTCAAACAGAGATGGTGCAGTGCAAATTGAGCTTTTAATATTCATTAGCTCATAAAGTCGGGATAACTAAGTTTGTGGATCTTTATGAGACCTCTTGAAAATCTTTATGAGACCTCTTGAACTGGCCACTCAGTGCTGTAGCATTAGAGTACTGGCCAAAATAACATTGACAATTATTATGTAAATGTTAACAAGATGCATTATGTTCTTTCCAAAACTCAATTTGCTTTAAAAGTTCAAATCTTTACCACTGCACCACTTTAAAAAACAGTTGTACATCCCTTAACATAAACAATTAATGATATTATTTAATTGGCTAAGGTTTTTATACATGCAGCCACATATAGATCTACAACTAGATACATTAACAGAGTCTGATCTAATCGTTCAATAGCAACATTCTAATTATAACTCATCATACCAATTATGATGAGATAATACATCATAATATTTTGTCACTTTATTGAGGTCACTTGTGAAATGTGGCTCAAACAGTGCTGGTGGAGTGCTTTTGTTTCCCAATGAGACTGGGAATCAGTGGACAGACTTTAATATAGTTATTGACAGCTGACTGCTTTTGTGGTTCAATGTTATGAAGACATCTGCTCGGCCCCTCTGTTTTTCTACCTGTGTCTATTTTCTCCTGACTGTGTGTCTATTTATAAACCTGCGTACTGCCTTCACATCTCTCTATCCTCTCTCTTTCATACAATATTGATGTCTGAGGCTATTTTACCCTTATGTAAGGCAAGGACACCCTCACTTTTGACCATGCAGGAATGTATGCTGGCTTTCATCCCTGTGTGTAGAGTTTCTGGGTATGTGTGTGTGATCTGCTGCGTGGTCATCATTCAGCAAGATAAACTGTATACATGTGTGTTAGAGAGACAGAGATAGCGTTTTTGTAAGCAAAGCAAAGAAGTAACCATCTTTTCCTCTGCTGGGAGTGCTGTCACACACACACA